TTCTTCTTTTTTTTTTTTTTCTTTTCGTACCAGGGATTGAACTCCAGTTCTTGAGCTTGGGAGGCAGGCGGTGGCACCACTGAGCTAAATCCCAGATCCAAGGCAGCAGTATTTGTAAAGGAAGTCTCAACAGGAAACTATCAAAGGTACGCTATGAAGAAATGTAAATGATGTCATAGTATCCACAAAGTCCTGGGCTTAATCCCTGGCATGAAAAAAAAGTGATGCACTGGGAGTAACTGTAGTTTGAAAAGGAGTTGGCCAAGATGTCTCAAGTATTTATAAAACTGAGTATTTTGTGAATTCCATAAGGATATAAGCAGAACCTATGCCAAAGACCTAGGTGCCTCAGGAATAGTCCTTTCAATATCTGTCTAATGGGAACACATCTCTATAGGCAATTAGATTTTATACCTGTTGAGAATAGTACCCAAAAAATGAGATAATGGATTTATTCACACTCCCAATAGGCCACATGCATCAGCCCTTAAAAGAGGCCTTCAATCCTCAACACTCCTGGCACTGGTTCAGGGACGCATATATTGTAACAACCTCTGTTCAGTATCGTTTCCAGTCTCTGCTTCTTTAGGCTTCCAATAAGTGAGAGGAAAATGCTTTCGAATAGAGGAGGCTTGGATCAAAAGGCAAACTCTCGGTGATAATTTTGTTTATGAAATAATGATATAATAAACCAGCTCTATGGAACTGCATCCCCTGCTATAAGCCAGGCCAAATCCCAGTCTCATTAGATTGATATACATCCAGTGGCACATAAAAATACACAGCAGTCCATATAAGGATATTGAATTTGTCCTGTGTATGAAACCCAAGCCCATAACTCAGGAGGAAAAGAATAAAGTTGGAATGGGGACTTTGTACACAGCTGGCATCTGACCAACTCTACAGCTCTGTGAGCCAGTGTTTCCTGTTATCATAACATTTCATTCCCAGGACTCAGGCGAGAGGCTGTCACTGGACACTTATGTTGCAGGTCCACAGCCCGTTAGCTCTGTGGTGCTTGGACAAAAGGAAGAGGTGTCTGGGTAAGAGTCTGCACCTTGTCAGGCTTGAGTCCAGGCCAGAAAGGGGCGAGATAATGAGGCACAGGAGCAGCATCTCTCATGGACCTACATGATGCTGTATTTACACTCCACAAGGTAAGAGCACACAATCTCAGAAATCCTCGTGAGCTTTGAGACCAGATTCTCTCCTATCCAGTTTAATACTGAGTTAGCCCAAAAGCATTTATTTGTAATTCTGAACATGAGAGACTTCCCTGAGTCCAAAGGCAGGGATGTTAGGGCTGGCCTCCTTCACATATGATCTTGCCTTAGGGGAAAGACAGAGGTTTGTCAAGTCTGACCACACCGCAAGGAGTGAGGACAGAGGGTGTGGGCCTTACCAACCACATGAATGTGACTTTTCTATATAAAAGTATTAAGCAATTGAGTCAAGAGAGGCCTGAAGCTTCTCAGAAATGCCAAAGCATGTGGGCTATGCTTTCTAGTCAAGGAGAGGAAGAGACCTCTTATCCCAACCCAAAGCTTTCTTAAAGATCTGAAAACACTTTGCCCAAGTTCTTCCTCTATGTTTCCACAGCACCTTGCACTCATGTCTACCATAATGTGTCTACACTGTGGCACCACTGTTCCTATGACTGTCTCTTCTATCATAGTAGTATCCACATGAGACTACAGTACTGTCACCTTCAGCACCTAACAGCATGACTGGCACCTCATTGTGGCTCTCAAAAATGTGATGGCTGAATGGCTGACTTGAGGGACAAATGTGTGGACAGAAGGATATGTGAGTGATGATGGGTGAGTAGATGGCTACATGGAAGGAGGGAAGGAAGGAAGGAAGGATGGATGGATGGATGGATGGATTGGATGGGTAGGTAAGTGGATGGGTACACAGGTGGATGGATAGGTGGACATTTGTGGGTGGGTGGTTGATAGGTGGATAAGTGGGTAAGTAGGTGGATAAGTGGGTAAGTAAATGGATGGATGAATGGGTGGATGGGTAAGGATAGTTGGGTGGGTAAGTAGGGGGTTGGATGGAGGCACAGGTGATTTTCTGCTGTTAGTTGCAGTAGCCTCTACTCCTGGAAGCAGGATTATAACAGAAATCCCATTTTCTGAATACTGTACTTTGAACACATAAGAAGCAGGAATCTATAAATGGGGATGCTCCTGTGAGAGTCCAGGGCTATTTTGCACGTCCAAAGGGGTCCTGATAGTTCAAAGAGGCCTCCAAACCTTGGATGCGAGTATAAAAGAAACCCACTGAAGTTCAGCTACAGCTCATTCAGAACCCTAAAGCCAGCTTTGATTTTCCTCAAATTCCTGTATGTTTTGTGGAAGCAGGGAGGATTTTAGGAGAAGTTGCCTTTAAGACTGTGTTACTTTTTTCTTTTTTCCTTCTAATCGTACTAGGAAGTGCTGCTTTACCCTTGTAGGAATTTGGCAACACTCCAAGATCACCCACTCCTGTGGATCTACAAAGTGCAGATGGCAGAACAAGAGTAAAGAGAGAAGAAAAAACTTAAAGGGGAGGATGGCAACAACAACAACAACAAAAATAATGTTAAACAGGAGGGCTCCCTTCTGTCTGGCTGGCTAAGAAATCACTCAATATCCTGGTCCACTTTGGTGTGGTTCTGAGCCTCATTCACATCACAGGCAAGGACTTCGAACGCTGCAGTGTAGCAAATGCAGTTTCAGCTCCGGTTGTGATGAATGTGCATACTAAAATTACCTTGATCTCCATTACCCAGCTGAGAGATGTCAAAAGAGTAAGGCATCAGGGAAGAGTCCGCCCCCGTGGCTGAAAACCTTGCCTGTCAATCTAAACTAAACAAACCCACTTTGCCATAGAGAAAAGGAAATACTTTACCTCTGGAGGTACAGCCATTGGCTGGGTCAATTTCCTTCCCATCAACTTTAAATGCCCAGCGGCCAGGAACATTGACATTTGTGGTCTCTTGGATATTCACAATCTCAGGGGTTCTCGACCCTGGGAGGCTGAAGAAATTGGTGAGGTTTCCACCATTAAATCCTGCCTGGAGCACAAAAGGAAGATAAGACTTTTGAGCACACCCATCATCCCACTGGTTAGCTAACGCTACTGCCTTATTTCAGAATCTAGCACATCCGAAATCAAGAGATCTCCTTTTGTCAGGTGTGGTAGCAAATACTTGTAATGCAATTACTTAGGAGACTGAGGCAGGAGAATCACTGGTTCAAAGCCAGCCTGGGCTACATAGGAAATTCAAGGCTAGGGTGGACTGCATAGCAAGACCCTATCTCAAAAGAAAAAGCAAAATAAATTTAAAAAAAAGAATAAACAAAATCAGAAAAAGAGACTCGTTTTCCCATAGTCCCAGGAAAGTGTTTGTTTCCTTCATCCCATGCCTGGGTCAAGCCATCAGAGATAGGCAAGACTAGCCTCAGACTACCTGCAGGATCAGTTATGCTTCTCTAGTTGAAAGCTGTGTTGGCAGGGCTCTGTCCAGGATGCTGAGTGACACAAGCAGGGAGTGCAACGACTGCAGTCTGTGGGATGGTGACTTGGAAAACCACCTACCTGTGCCATCACTCCTCCCAGACCTGTCAGGGGGTCACCGCCACTTGCTGTCCCAGTGGTCCAGTTGATCTCATAGTAATTGAAGAGAGTGAATGTGTAGGAGCCATCAGAAATCAGCACAGCCTGGAAAGTGTTCACCTACATGATGGGACAGGATGGGCTCATGACTCGCACTCCTAGGTGGTCCTCACCCCTTGGCAGCCTCCTAACCCTGCATCCCCTCCAAACATCTCAACCCCCACTCCACCTCCAGGCAGCTCACATCTCCTCTGCAGACCAGGCCTCATGCTCTGCCTTTTCTCTGAATTCATTCTCACCTCTAGTGGGAAAAGCAAGACATGTGGGATTGGGCATCTAAAACAGAAATTGCCTGAGATAAACCTGGAGTCTGACTCAGCACCTGGCTCACATCTCTGTTTTACACCAGACAGGGGATTCAGAGGCCCAGGCTCAGATTGCGCTGCTACTCAGGACCTATAGATGGCAGCATGAGAATAAACTATAGGAAACTGTTCAGCCAAGAAACAGCAAAGACCTGTTCCCAAAGCAGGGGTGGGTGGGAAGGATGGGGAGGGGAAGAGCGAGCCAATGCTGCTAGTCGGTGCAAATAAAAGGGTCCAACGGTCTTCGTTCCTGGAAAACACCACTAATCTGGACAAGATGCTTCCCCTTTTAAAATGGAAGTTGGAAAGTGATTTTTAAAAAGCACTTTGTGGGAAGAAGTCACTCCTCTAATAGAGCATTTATGTACTACTTTCTATCTATTCTCAGTGCTCATCTGTAACTCAGATGGGTGATGTTTTTGGCCCCTTCCCATCTTATTGCTAAGAAAACTGAGGACTAAAGGAAATGAGTTTCTGGAAGTTTCACAGTGACCCAACCCCAGAAAATGGGATTTGGATCAGAGATCCCAGTCTCTCTAGTTGCGCACTGTCATTATGTGTTGTCTTAATTTCAAACTTTTCAGGACAGAGATGTTATATAAATTCAAACAAACCTTCTACACAAGTTCTCAGAAATAAGCTGTGGCAAACTGCCCTTGACTCTTTTTCCTAATCCACACTCACTGACACACGTTTTTAGCAAATGCAAATAAAAATAGAGCTAAAAGGAGAGGCCATATTAACCTTTCTCTATTCAAACCCAGCCTTTTTCCCAGCTGCCTGATACCACCCCAGTTAACATTCTGTTCAATATCTAGGAAGAGTCAAATCCCTATCCTGTGTAATCGAACTGGGGTAGAGGATCTTGGAAGCTTGAAATCTCTCCACTCCAGAAGGTTCTAGAAGGTACAGGTAAAGAAAAGCCCTTTGTGTAAAGGAGAACTTTCTCCTCCAGCTCTGTGCCCGCCACAGCCGATGGTGTGAATGATAGAATTGCCTAGCTACATGCCTTCATTTTCTGGCCCCGTTCAACAAAAGAGGAAAGTGGGACAGAGAAATGAGTGAGCAATCAGCTCAAGATTGCTATAAGGCTCAAGGAACAGGTGCAAAGTTAGCCTAAGGGCTAATGCTAGACCAGGATTCTCCTTTCAGGCCAGGATTCTCCTTCAGGAATGAATTTGTCATCCCAAAATGAAGTTGGAAGTACCTTTAGTCCAAGCAGTTCTTGAGAGCAACCTAATTGCTACCCAAACTCACCCGAAACCAACCAACCAGCCAGCCCAGGGATTCCTCCTCGGCTTCTCGTGACACACGCATAACTACACATCCCCACAAATACCCTTGCTAGCTCTCACACATCCCTATGGATACACATTTCTTCCACATTCATTTTAAGATTTTTCTGGATCCCTCCTTTGTAAAGCCTTCTTTCTCAATTCCTGAAAAGCTCTTTTTGCTTCCAAGGACTTTCTGTGACACACAGAACGAGGAGGCTGCTGAGGAAAGAATTCAGGATTTGGTCAGCAGACTTTAGTGCACGTCCCTGCTCTGCCTTTTAGGAGGTTCGAATCCCTCTTCTGACACTTGGGAAAATTGCTTCACCGTGAAAGCAGAGACAATACATATTTTTTGGGGGGGAAATTTTTGTGAGGATTAAATGATACAAAAAAGTGACCTCTTATAGTGCCAAGCACATAATAAGCCCTTAATAAATATTGATTTTCCTTCCTTGAAGTAAACGTCTCCTTCCCTTTCTGTTGGGCTTCCATGATGCTTTCTTTCTGCCACTAAAGGATCTCAAGCCCAGTATGTAGCTGGCCAGGTGATATATGTTCCTATGGAAAAGGTGGAGCCCATTTCAAAGGCAAGGGTGGATGGACAGTTTTGTAAAGCTCTGAAGAATGTCTTTTTTTTTTTCTCCAAGGAGCTCAAAGCACTTAGATGTTTCCACATTCATTCTCACAGAAAAAGATCTCACCTAGTGCAGAAATTCACTCCAAAGTACAAACCAGAAAGTATCTAAATTATCTTGCCATTTTTATAGCCAGTGGAAGATTTTTGAAAAAAATGGTGGTCAGCGTTTGATGGGCATTTCTTCTCTTTTTTTTCCTCCACTAACACTAAAATTTATTGATTGCTGGCTTCCCACATTCTAACTCTGTAAGATATGAGGCTTAAAGGACATAAAACATCACCTGAGGAGTCGTTAGCGATCCATAACATGACAGAGGGAAATGTATGCTTCTTTAGAGGTTATTTCTAGCCAATGCATCCACTGTTTAAACCTGTGTCTTTCTGTTCTGCAGAACCTCTTAGTGATAAAGTGCTTCAAGATGCTCTGGACAGAAAGTGCTAAAACACAGTGTGCTCATTGCACTGTCGATGTGAATTGCAAGACCAGCACTTTTTCACCTCTCTCTTATTCTTTCTGTTCCGCCCCTAAACAACTGACTCACTGCCAAGGATTTGGGGAAACAGATGGAATTAGAAAGGATCTGAAGAAAGTGCAGGGCAGATTTCTGAGTGTCTTTGCTTACTGGGGAATTATGCATTCGAAGATGCCTGAGTCTGCTACTTCTAAAATCTCCACTGTCAGAGTCACCCAAACAAGCCATAGGCTTTCGTGAAAACTGCAGTCTGTCGTCCCTTTATGTAGAAAGTTGATTATCTCTACTATAATGGCAGCGATAATCTTTCTTATTCGACTTTTATTTGACTGCTCATTTGGGATTTCAGAGCAGATGTTGAAACTTTATTCATGTAACGCTTTAACTGCCCACTCTAATTAACATCAAATATGAATAATTTCAGCCTTGGTCACAACAGAGAAAACTCATAACATAATAAAATGAGTCAGGTCATTGGTGCCCATATCCACCACTCTACTTTTCCTTTTCTACCAGATTTTATGGAGGGGATAAAAAGGAAATTATTGATGTAGAGAACCATTTGTGCCTCCGGCACAAGAAAAAAACCTATGAGCCCCTTGCTAGATCCCTAAGTCATATGCCCTGGGAAGGGCTCAGCAGTTCAATCACTCTCCTGTAAAACGAGAGTGCTTTCTACTGTTGAGGGATTCTTTTCAGAAAGTTGTAATAAATTGTGATGGGGATACACTTGTCTAAAATACTAACAGCTGACTGGACTTATTTGTTCTGATATTTCCCTCTGTTTCCTGGAATGATGGTGGCAAGACCATTAGTTTAACTCCATCCAGCACACTGACATTCCTCAGGTCTACCAATTAGACTCCATGCAGTGAAGATGGACAAGAATTAGATGTCAGGGTAGGAAATGGAAAGTGGAAAATATGAATTATTACAGGTGTGGTGCTGCTGCCTCCGTAAAACGTGACTTCTTCCCATGTCACAATGAAAACCCAAGTGGCAGAGAAGGTTGCCATGTCTTTGAAGTACTTCCTGATGTCCTTGGTGGCTCTTTTCAAGATGACAGGATCCATGGTTTCTCTGTAATAGATCTCGCCTCGAATCCCATTGTGCACATCTGCCCAAAAGGGGGCAATGAAAGCCCTCCCGTCTGTCAGGGGAAAGGACTCAGGAGTGAACTGGCTCACTAGCACATTGAAGGAAACAACACCGTTGTTATTGACCTAAAAAATAAAAGAGGTTTGCACAGTGGATCTGAAACCAGGACAATGTCAGAATCACAAACCAAGACAGACATTTGCCTAGCTGTATGAATGAAAATAAATTTTAAACCACTGAATTAGAACTCCCAAATACCAGCTCCCATTGTTCAAATGAGGAGGTTCATTTATTTTTAGACACACTCATTGGTTTTCTTTCACTTTCAATTCATTGTCAGCTTCATTTCTTATTATTAAATCACTCTCATTTTCATGTTCTCTATCCTATCTCTATTTGCACTTACCAAATGCTAATGGGCCGTGTGTGTGTGTGTGTGTGTGTGTGTGTGTACATATGTGAGCTAGGCTAACCTGAGGGCAATGTGGACAATAAGACAGATTCAGAGTCACAGATGCAAAATAAACAGGAAAAACAAACATGGAAGCAAAGTTGAAAATTGAATTGAAAATTGAAAATCAAGGAGTTGATATTAGACCTTGATTCCTACATTATGACAAAGGAGGAGTGTCAGAGAAAGATCAAATGCCCCTCAATTGAACTCAGATCTCATGATGGACCATATCCTTCTCTGGAGGAGACATTTAAAAGACTTCTATTGATGCCACAACCACTTCTGTACTCAGATCAAGGACACGATCTATATATGGCCAGTTTCACTCTGGTTCTTATAATTTGATAGCTTCCTTGTAAAATCATTACATAAAAACTGAGCCATGGGTACATTTGTATTGTACTGTATATGTAAATAACTAGATTATCGTAATTTCTTTATGGTTTAGAGATGACTTAGTAAACTTAAGAAACCTTTCTGCAAATCATAAGCCAGTATGTCTCCTCAGTTCTAATAGGACCTGTAAACAATCCAGCCTGTCCCTGAGTCTGAGATAAACTGATTAACCTGGGGGCTTATAAACAGCTTCAGCAGCAAAAATATCTGGGATGGGAATCTTTGCAATTCCTAGATCATTCTCCGCTACATTCTAGTTGTTTGCTGTGTTCCTATGAATAAGTTATATCAAATTCCATAGGTAGGTGGGCCAAGAGTATGTCAGCAGGCCTTAGAAGCAAGGGTGGGGAATTTGGAAAGGAAGATGGAGACCAGGCTACAGAGATATTAAGAGCTATTGTCTTCACGTAACAGGGAACAACCCAGAAGCTTGCAAAGATTGCACTACTCAAGTGGTAGAAACTCAAGGAACAATATACCCTCAAATAAGTTTGTCCAAACTATGATCCATCCTTCTAAAAGCGAGACTTCTTCAGACTCTCTGTCACATTGTGCAGTGAAGGAGAAAAAGGCACTTAACTAAATACATTTGTTCCAGAGGCTTACAAGGCTAAGCCTCCAAGAATGGAAGCCTCGCACTCTCCTTTCATCTTCAAAATCAGGTCAACACACTCTAAAAGTTACAGTCAGCAATGACAGACAGACTGGGAGGCCCTGCTGTGAGGACAGCATAAGAGGCATTTCAAGATGCCTGAGTGATGGCTTTGCTAGGGAGTAATAGGTGTAATTAAAACACGCAGGCTTGCCAAGAAAGCTTGCAATGACTCACATGTGTTTTGATTATGTTCTATAGTTAAGATCAGAGAGTCTCAAAATTTTGTGGGCATCATAATCACTTGGAGGGCTCATTAAACTGGATTGCCAGGCTCCTCTCCTAGAGTTTCTCATTCAGTGTGAATGATACCGGTCACAAGAATCAGCAACATTGCTAAAAAATGTCCCAGTAATGCTGATGCTGCCAGTGCAGGGACCACTAATTAAGTAACAACCACTGGTTAGGTAATGGAAGATGAAACTATTTTCTAGGGGGAATCAGTACTGGTTTGCACATTGAAAGCTGGGGAAGCAGGTCTCAGATGTGGAGATGGCCAGAATTTCATGTATTCCCTCAGGACACAGAATAGGAAAGGATGTAATGTGATCTATACATGCCTCCTTTGGCCCTTTAAGGCCAAAGATAAAGAGAGGCTCAGCTGCTTTGAACCTTCCTCTTATGTACAAGTCTCAATGGCAGCAAACTCAATGATTAAAAAAAACAAACAAACCTAGGGATGAAGTGCCCAGGAGAGCCCCGACAGCCAAAGGAATAATTTCTTAGTGAAGGGGTTGAAAATGTGAGCCTCTGGCCTAGCTGCAGACCTAAGGAAGGTGGCTAATTCTGCAAACAGATTTTGTACAATAGTTGATTATCCATCTACTCTGCTCCAGCTCTGCTTCAGATTGGTAGGAGGCCTAAGAACAGCAGATGCCTAAACTTTTCACACCCCCAGAAGGGAAAGAAAAATGATATTGCTCCTATTGTGGTTCATTGTATCTTTTTATCTTATTGAGTAGCAGAAATAGTGTTCATGGCATTGGGGTTCTGCTTCACTTCTGTGTTTAATCACCTACAAAAGCAATTTATTGCCCTGTATACTCCTCTGCTGTGAACATTAGCCATTAAATATACCTTTGACTTTCTTAATCATAAAACCTATCAGCTCATGAAATCTCAAAACTTGTCATTTTGGCTGCCAGTATATCTATTTCCAAAGCCTGGAAGAGGGTATTTAAAATTCTTTTCCTAATGACAAACAAAAGGGAGAGCCACAGAGCAACAGCTGGGCTAGTTCTCCACTTACATAGACAGTGCGGTAAGGAACGCCAAAGAAGAACACAGGAATGGCCAACTTAATCTCAGACGAGCTTCCATCATCTACTTTAGGGGTTTTGGTGTCATTCTGCCAAAATGGATACATGAGCTCCCTGGGCTGAGCTGTCAAGAGAGATGGTGGTTAGATAGACAGTAGATCCCTCCTCTGTTTGGCAAGCTTTTTCCCTCCCAGCTAGTAAAACCAGCTTCTCTGAGGATGGCTTACAAGCTCAACACAAATCAGATGACCTTTACCACTAATTCTACACCCAGGCGATACACAGGGCACCATCTTCTGCCTCTAGGAGAGGGAGAATGAGAGTGATATTTCTCCTTAGGAGAAGGCCCTTCCTGCTTCATTCCTATGTCCCCTTGCATTTTGGAGACAGTAATGGTGATAAGTGGCTGGAAGGCTGTAAAATCATCGCTGCCTCAGCTCTCAGAGTACTGAGAGGCAGTCTCTAGGTCTTGCAGACAGGGGAGGGCTTGCCTCTTAATTAGACAGCAGGGTGGAAAGAAGGTGGCTGTGGCTGTGGAGATGCTGTCTAGCCCAAGAATTCTACTATGTGTCTTTCTGAAAGGAGTCTCCTCCCTCCTGCTACACAATAGGAAAAGATATCAGAGACCAGGAGGAAATAAACAACAGTTGGAACCAGGACCAGAGTGGGAGGAAAGGGTTGTAGCAACTGGCCTGAGAATGACCTTGATTGAGAGCCAGTCCCAAGAGGCTCTCTGCCCAGCTCCTGTTCACAAAAGGCGGAAATGGGATCCTCTAGGCCAGGGACGTTGGGCCCTTGAGAAGATCTCTCTGGAGAGGAGGCACAGGGTTCTCCCTTGTCCTTCTGGTCAAAGGTGAGACTCATCACACAAGCGCTCACAGGCCCCCTCCTGTGACAATGTCACCACCTCCCAAAGCACCTGCCTTGCTTCTCCAAACTTTCCCATCCAAACTCTTGTGATGTGTGGTCCAGTTTAGCAAGAGAAATGAGACCATTTCCCCCAGGGTCTATTTTACTGAGGACCAGATCCGATAGCATCAATAAAACAATCTACATTTCAAGCATTTCACTTTTCTCTGCTTCTGTTCTTTCTTCTCCTGAATGAAAACAGATCATCTGTTAACCCCTTTTTAAAAAACTGTAGCTTTCACAGGCAGCAGCAGGTTCATTCTGGGCTTCTATCCACAGGTTTTGAGGCACCTGCTCCCAGCCATCTAGAGACAGACACCTGCTCTCCTGTCGGACTTCTCCGTGGGAAAGTTCCTGTCCTGTGCTGATGAAGCTGATAGGATAGGATGTGAGCAACTGGCCAAGGGCTGCCCTGCCCGTGGGGCACTTTTTAGTGGGCAGACAACAGCTCCTGTAAAGGAAAATGCATAGAGTCCAGAGGGCAGCCCCGGAGCACAAGGCAAAATGCCATTCTTCTAGTTCTGGAGTTGAGAGTAGGAAGATATCTGCCTGCACTAGAACTGAACTCTTTCTGAGGGTTATCAGAGGAGAGTGGGGAATACTACTCTGGCCATTAGTGTACAGTATATGCACTGCTTCCTGCCCTAGAAGTTTCTAGAAAGCTGAGCAAAGCTTAACCTGTAGGAGGTAGTAACTGTTTTACTAGCCATTGCTGTATTTTATACTGCAATCAGTACTTGAAAAGCGGTTTTCTAATATTACTGTTGATGTAACAGCAACAAAATCCAAATTCCTAGAAGATAGGAACTTTCCTTTGTTTTACGTGTAATCCTTACTACACAATTAAACACAGGCACTCATTAAATTTGAAGGGTGATACATTTCCTTGAATTAATAGTAGCAAATGAAGTCATAATCATTTTTTCATGTAAAAGTTCATGGGTGTTTGGGGCTGCTTTGGTCAATCTACCTAAGGAATGAAAATCTTATAATCCCTCATGGAGGAGACAGAAAATAAGGGCCATGAAGACTATGTCCAACTTCTCTGGCCCTCCTAAAATGTGAGGCAAGGTCTAAGATTTTCCTCTTCATGAGTGATCCTGACAAGTTTGTTATTTTGTAAAGGAAAACACAGAATGTTAAAATTTTCAACCATAACAATACAAATAATAAAGATATCTAGTATTGTAAATACTGAATTTATTGAATAAAAAGGGGTGCTTAATAAAAGGCAGCAGGTTTAAACTACAGTAATTTCCATCTCAGAAGTCATATTGTGTGTGCGTGTGTGTGTGTGTGTTTAACTGTTGACAGCATGGCCTATCACTAATACCAGAGTTAGTAAAAGAAAGACTATCCCTACTTATGTTTGCTCTGTGATGGAAATTTCAAATGAATATGTTCCTAGAATTTCTTCTTTCATCAAATAATTTTTTTTTTTTGGTGTAGGAGTGGGAGGTTGGAATTAGTGGGGTTATTGTGGAGTTTACATGCTACAATTATTACTACGGTTTATATACTATAACTAAATTCACCCAATCTTGGAAAATTTTTAGGGTTTGCATGGTGTCATAGAGCTATTCATTTCAGAATTTTAACTATGTGCCAAATGAACTTAACAAACAAATCATCAAAATAAAGATGCTGTAACATTTTAGCCATAAAAGTTTAAGTTATATGGGGATAGACCTATTTTCCTTGTCTAAAATCCAAAGACAACTGTAAAAAGAAATATATGTGGCCTTTTATTTGCCCAGGAAAATGCTACACAGAGAAAAGAAGGAAGCACTGAGAAGGACAACTGTCTTATTTCACTTACAGTTTTAGATTTGGGAGCTTGTCATAAATCAATGACACACAAGGGAGAAAGATCAGTGTGACTGTAATTTCCTAATTTTTGGCTAAAATAAATATATTTTTTAAGTCTCCAGTGCAAATTTAAAGCCTTAATGGAAATCAGTGATAAGGCACAGGATGTGCACACGTAGCTATTCTATATAGTTCAATAGAAACAGTTTGAATTACTTTAAGAAACTTCTTAGGAATATACAAATTGTATTCAAAGTTAAATAAGAAAAAGTGGGAAGGTAAGTGAACATCACTCAAAGTTAATGTATTTTACCCCTGACAACAGAATTTAATTTACATTTTTTTCTTGTTGTATCTGTAGACACGTGTACACCTACCCTTACAATTATGGTTCCTGCAAAAGTGTCTCTTTATAAATTCAAGAGCATGCTAATCAAGAGCTTTATGAAATTCTGTAGTACTCACCTTGGTGCCGTACAAGTGCGAAGATGAAAGAGACCCAAATTCTAAGTAATGATGAATAATTCATCCTGGAATTTTAAAAAGAAAAAGAAAAAAATCCCCAGCTTGCCAGAGTAAATAGAACACCAGGTGTGCTTGGTGGCAAAGCCCAAGACACATCACAACCATCATAGAACAAATTCACATCACAACATCAATAGACCTGAGTCAGGCTGAAATTCCCTGAAGGTGAACAGGTCCTCCTAAGTTCAAGACTTCACGAACAAATTAGACCCCTGGAAGAAGCCAGTCTAGAAATGCAATGCGATCATGCAAATTTTCAGGTGGTTTTATAGGATCAATGCAAGAGGCAAAGGGGAAAGGAAAAGTATCTACTCTGCATGTGACAAAGCACTGAAAACTAGGATCCAATTCCAAAGGTTTGGGTCCCAGTTATTTCCAGAACAGAAGCTCAGTCCTCTGTGAGACCGGGCTCTCCCACATTTCACAATGGCTTTCCTTTACCATCAAAGCAATGTTGGTTGAAACACCATGTCTTCTACAGTAGGAGGATTTAGAGTTTGCCACCACTCCCTGCAAGATATGGAGCCAGCCCACGACTTTACTGACCAGAGTCGCAAGTGGTCTAAGACTCTCTCCACTGATTTTTCCATAGCGAAATGAATGATAACTACATTGGTAATAAAAAAAGAACCACCTCGGGGCTGCTCCTTGGAATTACAATAAGAATAGAACCCAACACACAAGCAAGTAATTAGTTCCAGCAAGTTAATTAAAGAAGGAACATCACAAGAATGAATTTGTTTTCATGTTAGTTGACAATCAGTTCATCTGGTGGTTTTACTCTCCCTTAGGAATGTGCAAGGTATGTGCTGCTCAGTAAGACTAAGATGCAAACACACAAACTCCAAGTTCAATGTACACCCACATGAGAGCCAAAGCAAGTGGCTGCACCGTGAAGTTTGCTCCTGACAGTATATTCTTAAAGCTAGAAACTCTCCTCTTATCATTTGAGGTTATCATAATTCTTCAGCCAAACTTCCATGAAAAAGCAATGGATTTCTTCTGCAAGAGTTTTATTGTAAGTAAATATTCAGTTGATAAGTACACACATTGAAATTTTAAGCACATTTTAAATATTAGCCAGTTTTGCTGAAACTGGTACTTCAGCAGAGATCACACGCAGCTCTAGCGGAGGCAGGTGCCTTGTAAGTTGAAGACATGAACCCTTAGGGAAACAGTACAGAGAGCAGGAAGGAGGATTCATTTAGATATTTGTATTTATGAAAAATGTCACTAACCTGTTCTGTAGCCTGGAGGAACTGAGTCAGAAATGTTAAGTCAAATCTTGGTAAACCAGGAAAAAAAATTAAGTAAAACAAAAATTCATGTCAGTTCTCCTCAACTTGCTGCCAATTATTTCTGATCCCTGAAATGATGTCTGAATCCTGTACTCTTAAAACCAAAAATTCAGTTAGTCCTGCACTAGAGTTAGGTTACTGTTGAGTTGCAATCAAGTTTTTTTCTATTGATTAAGGAAAAGTAAATCTAAAGATCAGTTTCAGGATTGCGTAGAGAGGTTCTTTTCCTGAAAAACTAGACCTCTTTCCACCCCACTTTTTTAAAAAAAAAGTAGATTCAGATGGAAATGTCAGGGACTTGGAGCTGAAACCTCCGTTCTTTCTGATCAGAATCACTTTGCACTGAAAAACACAAAAGAAAACCCCCCTTCTCCTTTTGTACCCAAAAGAAGGCAACTGTATAATGTTACAGAATTAGCATCCACCAGCATGGGATTAAAACTCCAAACAAAGGTGCCTCCTCCAACATTTAAATGAAGTTGGCTTTCTACTAAAGTCTTTTTTTTGTGTGTGTGTGGGGTATCTGTTCACAGGCCCTTCTCTTTTTTTTCACAGGTATGCATGAAGTATTTAAAGAAACTGTCCTAAACTTCTCTAGGGTTTTATTCCTTCTTTTTCTCTCTGTTGCACTGCCTTGCAGCAGGATGGACCAGGGCACTTTCTAGGCTAAACCAGAGGAAGCACCCAGTGGTGGGCAGGATCTTTCACAAGGAAAACCCAGAGTGTGTCCTGGCTACCTCCACAGATGCCCCTTTATGGTCCTTGCAGAGAGCAGAGAGAGAATAAACTTCCTGCTGGAATGTGCAGTAAATGAACTAAAAGCCACCATGAACAAGGGGAAACCTGTAAGGTCCTTATGTACCCAGGCACCCAGTGAACATGAAGTGGACCAAACTGGCTACAGCATAAACAAAGTCTACAATTCAACATGTTTAAGAGGAAGTTTATCCAGAAAGAAGTAACTTGAGTACAGCAGAAAAACTCTTTTATAAATCATTGAGCATGTAAAAGTTACTCCAATAAAGAAAACAAAAAAAAAATGACTCCAATTTCTTTTCTTTGACCAGACATTTAAATGCTGACTATACAAAAAATAAAAATCAAATTCAATTAAACAATTCTGGGCTTGGGTAAGTTGTCCTACAATGGACAAGAGTGTTTGGGAAACTAAACTTTTAGCCTAACTTATCCAATATTTCTCCAAAAACCTGTGATAATTCAGTAGCTTTTGCATAATAAGCCTTTATTCTCTCACCAGTAGTATGAATCCTATAACATGTATTTATAGATCTCAGACGGATACTTTTCTCCACAAATGACAATACTAATATAATCGAAGATCTAGTTTTGGAAGTGCTTAGGTAAAGTAAAATTAAATCAAACCTAAGACTCACCTAGAGAAACATTCTCCTTGCCTAGTCTGTATATTAAGATTTTAATCTAATAGTTAATCGAAGTATCTTGAAGCAAAATAATTTCTCTATTTAGAAAACTGCTAGTGGTGTGCTAGTTGTTTGGTCTTCTATTTTTATGCACTCATGTTTTTATATCACAACCCATTTGACCCATATTAAATGCTTCACTCTTCGTGAAGCAGGACTGCTGGATAAACGTCACGAAGGCATCACCAGATACAAAAAGTGATGGCATAAATGACTTTGGGAATCTGGCTGAGAGCGAGCAGCCAGTGCTTGGAGAGAAGCTGGCCTGACTTTCTGTGCATTGGGCTGGGAGGCTGGTTGGTGAATGTTTCCTTGTTGTACACTCAAGAGTTTCAGAAATGAAAAAATGACGGAAATCTCTTTTTACGGCACGTCAGCAGGAGGAGGTATTTTGTTGAAAGTGTAAGGTGGGCAAAGATTTCTGCCAAGATTTATACCTAGCCAGTAAATACTGGCATGTGGTGGGGGAAAGGTGAGTACCCAGGAATTCAGGGTACTCAAGACAAGGTAGCTAGGTGATGACACAATAAGCAGAGTTCACTGACTTGTGAACATGCTACAGGCTTTAAAACCATGTCGAGGACCCCAGGGAAGGTACAAACTCATTCCTGGGGTAGCACCTAGAAACCTGGGAAAGTGATGGCTCACACTAATGTAAGGCTGAATTTTGAGGGCAGATGGCAGAAGAAGGGGTCTGAAGGCTCAGAAAAGAGAGTATGCTGGAACAGATACACTACGTGAGTATGCATTCTGACAGTCGGACAGTAGCATTCCATGGAGGGCCCAGAGCACAGACACACCATCCACACAGGCCAGTGAAGACCCCCTGCAAGAACCACATTACGAGCAGGCTCAGCAAGCTCAGTGGTGACTCTCTCCTTCTGCAAGTCAGGGTGAAAGTCAGGTGGTGACCACAGAGTATGGCTCTCTGATGGCAATGGAGACAATGGGTCTCTCAAAAAACAGGTGACAGCCTCCTACTTCCTGGAGGTTGTAATTTTCATAACGGCCTAGAAGCTCAGAGTGGCGGCCAAGGTGGTCTGATTGATAAAGATCTCTGGAGATGGTCCAAGCCAACAGGGGTATTGCTTACTACCTATAATTTAAAGAGGAAGAAATGCTGAGCAAAGGTTGACAACTGTGGCCAATTAAAAAGTCATGATTCCTTCTCGTTTCTGGATCTGAATCTAGAATCTGTAGACCAAAAGGCGATGATCTCCAAAGGGAAGCATCCTGCAACAACATGGCAAGTATGTACTTCAATGCTTCTCCCAGAAATCCTCAAAAATATCTTTTGCTATTTATACAAGACTGCAGATTTATATAGTATATATTTACAGAAGAGTAGGCTGGGGCAAAGGAACGCCTAGACATCTTGAGGACTATTGGACAAAGGCGTTTGGATTAACACTGATATCCAAAGATCCTGTTAGAATGGGCATGTGTAGGACCCGGGCAATAAAAGGAGTTCCAGAAAAGTGCATCTTACAATGGGTCTTCAGGGCTGCAGACCCACCTGTATGTCATTTTTTCCGATTGATGTATTTGGCACATTGGGTCTTGGTCTGTGGTATAGAACTATCATTGTAAGGAAGGCAAGATAGTAAATACAAAAGGGTGCTGCATCCTGGGCTGGGGGTAAGGGCTAGAGTTAGTCTTAAAGAAGGGTGGTTAACACTATGATATCATCATCTAACTGGCCAGGCTGGAGGCTGGAGATTGGCTGTGAACTACTTACTACAAGATCAGACAAGTAGCAGTTTCAATCACAGCTGCCATGCTAATACAGAATCTTCTCAAGAGCAAATTAACTTGGCTTCAGGTACATACTATGCAGTCATTCATTTGGCAAATGCATCTCCTGCTGCATCTGAATCAGAAATGACAATCCAATTTAGTTCATATTATCTGATACAGACATTAATACACATTAGTTTCACCTTAGGGTTATTAGGATAAATCTCCCATTGCTATGGTTTGAACATGGTTGGTCCCAGCCAAACCATGTTGAGGCTTTAATTCTTCAGTGTTGGAAAGTTGGGTCAATTGGGAGTTGTTTGGGTCATGGGACCAGAGCCCTCATGAGTATATTAATGGTCTCCTGTGGAAGTGAATTCTCACTCTCACGGTCACAGACAAGATTAGTTATTGCAGGAGCAGACTGTTGTTAATATTTGGCCTTCTTTGTCCCCTCTCTCTTTCATACTTGCTCTCTTGTCCTTACGTATGAAGTAGTGTGAGGCCTTTAACAGAACTTGAGAGTAT